ACACACACACACACACACACACACACACACACACACACACACACAAGCTCAGAGTTAGGTGGTAGGAGCACAGGATTCAAACCCAGCTCTGCCATCATCCTTTGAAAGCTTGACCTTGGCCTTGTCCCTGCCTCTATCTGTCCCTTACTTTCCCCACCTGTAAGATGAGGAGGAATTCTAATTAGAAGAACAGATTCTCAGCCCTGGCTGATTGGAGGAATTAGCTGGGAGTGTTTACCAGCCACCCACCTACTGGGTTCCATCCTCAGAAACTAATCCAGTGGTTCTCAACCTTCCTGATGCTGTGTCCCTCATGTGGTGGTGACACCCGCCCCCAACCATAACATTATTGTCGTTGCTACTTCATCACTGTAACTTTGCTACTGTTATGAATTGGGTGACCCCTGTGAAAGGGTCGTTCCACCCCCAAAGGGGTCCCGACTCACAGGTTGAGAACCGCTGGTCTCCAAACCCCAAACTCACTGCATGGAGGTGAGTCTGATGGCCAAGCACCCTGAGGACGGAGAACTGCTCCACAGGGCTTCGGGGGCCATCACGACATCTTTCCCCAATTATTCGAATCACCAGCATTTCAGTTAGCTGCCCAAAGGTTAACCCACGGTGCCCCAGGGATCCTCAGTCCAATGGAAAGCCTGGAGATGAACTCCTTTGTAACTGTTCCAGCGCTCAGGTAGATTCTAATGGCGTCCTGGTGGTGTAGTGGTTACGAGTTGGGCTGCTAACTGCAAGGTCAGCAGTTCGAAACCACCGGCTGCTCCGTGGGAGAAAGATGGGGCTTTCTACTCCTGTAAACAGTTCCAGTCTCAGAAACCCGCAGGGAGCTCCTGAGCGAGAGCGTTGACTCTCTGGCAGTGTCTGTGGTTTCGATTCTGCAGTTAGTTTCAGAAACTCATAGGAGCAGTTCTTCCACCGCCTGTAGGGTTACTACGAGTCGGCGTAGACCCGATGCAGACGAGCTTGGTTTTTGGTGTTTTAGGATGATTCTGGAGATCCTGAGGAGTGTGTGTGTGGTAGAGGATGGGGGTGGGGGTGGGCTTGTTGAGAGGGAAGAGGAGGCCCAAATGGGTATGCACTGGGCGGCTGCCTAAAAGGAGTTCATTCCGAGGCATCTCAGAAGAAAGGCCGGGCTACTTCCTGCCCCCAAAGTCCACCACTGAAAACCCAATGGGGCCCAGTCCTACTCTGACGCATAAAGGCTCCCCGTGAGTCAGAACTGATTCCAACACCCTGGGTAATGCGCTCCTATGGATAAGAGGGCTTTAGGGTGTTCAGATACACCCCAGAATGTGTTTGTAAACCCCGAGACCATAAAAAAGTTAACATTCTTCTTAAGATCCCCAACAAACGGTTCTTTAAATAGAAGTAACTCAAAACCACTGATTGGGAAGGGGACGAGTGCCACCTGCTGGTTTCACCGCGCATGTGCAACATGCAAATAATCCGACGCAACGCAATGCAATTTACTTACTGTCATCTCAAGGGGCAGAGCTTTGTGCCGGGCCTCTTGGCAGAGAGGAGAGCAGCTTTCCACCTGGTGGGAAGGCAGCACCTACAGTCCTGTGACCCAGGGCGGGAAGTGACCTGGGGTCTGGCTGGCTTCATTGGCCTGGGATCTGAGTGTCACTCAGGCTATCTGCTTAGAAGTTTTCATACTTGGTTTAATGCTCTGCAGCCGCTGCTGCTTCTGGGAAATTGCTAATACATTCTGAACGGGGGACCCAATGTTTTCATTTTTCAGCTGGCCCCACAAATGAGGTGGCTAGCTCTGCTCGGGCTACTTGGGGAAACCTTGGAGGAGGGCACATGCCCGATGAGGTCTAGAAGGTGAGGCGTGACGGAAGTAGGGGAGAGCAGGGGTGCAGAGGGCATGGAGACTCGAACTCTGCTGAGAAGGAGGGGGTGGGTAAGAGGGGAGATAGTGGGTGTGTTAGGCCGAGGTGCAGGGAGCCTGATCAAGAGCAGGTCCCAAACAGCTGGAACCCAGGGGACTGGCCAGGGCTGGGGCTCTGGGTGACAGACTCCCAGATAGGCATGTAGTTGGGGCCAGGAATGTACATCCAGGCCTTTTCCTCTGGCCAGTGGTAGAGGGGCCAGAGAGGAACAGCAGACTGCACTGCTGGCTGGGCCAGGCTCTCACATGCGGGAAAACCACCTGAGGAGATAGATGGCAGAAGAACTTCTTTTTTAAAATCATTTTATTGGGGACTCATACAGCTCTTATCACAATTCATCCATTCATTGTGTCAAACACCTTTGTCCATAGGTTGCCATCATCATTTTCAAAACATTTTCTTTCTACTTGAGCCCTTGGTATCAGCTCATTTCCCCCCACCCCACCACGTTCCCTCCCTCATGAACCCTTGATAATTTATCATTTTTTTTTCATGTCTTACACCAGTGGTTCTCAACCTTCCTAATGCCATAACCCTTTAATACCTCGTGTAGTGGTGACTCTCAACCATAAAATTGTGTTTGTTCCTACTTCATCACTGTCATTTTGCTAGTTATGAATCATCATGTAAATCTCTGCTAGGCAGGATGTATTTTCATTGTTACAAATTGAACATAATGAAAGCATAGTGATTCATCACAAAACAATATGTAATTATATATTGTGAAATATTTATTTCTAATGACAAATAAATGAAATTTTGTCTTGAACATGGTGTAGCATGGGTAACAGTCCTCACACCGGGTTGTGGGTGTATCTGCATGTGGGCGGACCCACCTGGAGACGGATAGAGGAGGCGTGTCTCCGTTCCCAAGACCATTGGAAATATGTGTTCTCCGCTGATCTTAGGCGACCCCTGTGAAAGGGTTGTCTGACTCCCAAAGGGGTCGAGACCCACAGGTTGAGAACTGCTGTCTTACACTGACCGCTGTCTCTCTTCACCCACTTTTCTGCTGTTCATCTCCCTGAGGAGGGGTTCTGTGTCAATCATTGTGATGGGTTCCCTCTTTCTCCTGCCACCTTCCCCTTCCCCTTCCCTTACGGCAGAGGAGCTTCTTGGGATCAGGGCCTAGTGGGGCCTGGAGTCCCCAGTCTCCTGGTGAGGTGCCATGAAAGCCCTCCTGAGCCTCCTCGGGTGGTTTCTTACTTGGACATCACCGGAAGTCACCTGAGTTTTGAACAAGACTCTCCCTACCCTTCACACTGGAGGGCAGAGGACAGAACTCCGCCCGACTCTCTGGAACCCGGAGAGCAAACCCCGTTCCCTCCCCTGGGAAACACCGATTTCTTCGTCCTTCTTGCCTCTTCCTCAGGCTCTTTCCACAGCCTGGGGGTGGGGTTTGCAGGAAACAGCCCTTCTTCAGAAGTTAGGGGGAGGCCGAGGGCTCCGACTTCACGCCAGTTCCACCCCTACAGGCAGCTGGCACCCCTGGTCGCTACCATCTTGGTTTTGGAAACCAAGCCGGAATCTTGCCCCTGTCTTGGTTTCCCGGTACAGCACAGCCCAGGCAGAGGTGGATCATGCCCCAGTCCTGGGTCCCGTGTAGAGAAGCCCCTCCCTCAAACAGGCAACTGCCCTGTCCATCCAAGGGATTCTGCCAGGGATTTGGGAAGCCTTGTTCTGAAGGGGCCCTGGGCCCGCTCGGTAAAAGGGAGCTGACAGGCTGAATGACCCGCAGAGCTGACCAAGGCAGGGATGCTGAGGGACGCTGGCTGCTTCTACTTTCCGCCAGGCCAGTGGTCCCCTTTTCCTGTGTTTGGTGGGGATGATTAGTCCTGGGAGTTGGGGGGCAGGAGAGTGGGGAAGTACTTCCCCCCCACCTTGAAGAGGCGAGTCACACCAATCAGTGTCTGCTTCAGTTGGGGCTGAGGGCTTGTGGAAAGGGACTTGGTGGGCAGTTAGACAGCACAATCTGACACCTGTTCCTACTACCTGCTCAGCCCCCAGAACTGTGGGGCAGCGAGTGGCATAGATATGAGGCCAGAGGGGGGTGCCCAGGTGAGACCCCCCCATGCTGCAAGAGGGAGCCAGTACTCTGTAGGATATGCCGTGTTCCAGGTGGCACTTGGTAGACCAGGTGAGAACGGTGAACCAAGTGGGACTCATTGTCCCAGCCTGTGCCTTACCCTGGCGGGTGGAAACAACACAGGTGTTTCATAGACAATGTCCCTCGCTTGGCCCTCAACTGTGTAAGGGACTGGGAGGGAGAGGCTGGCCAAGCGGGGCAGAGATGACTGGGACCCTGGACCACACAGAGCGCGACATGACGTTGCTGAAGCAGAGAGTGAGTGAGGGAGAGATGGGGCGGCAGGGAGGAAGATGGAGCGCCACCAGCCTGGGCACGGAGCATCCTTTTGCTGCTTTGAGGGTAAGACTCTAGGGCGGGCGTCACCTCCGCAGCAAAGGGTCCGGGTGGGCGACGGGCCCCAGCGCCTACGTCTGGATGAAGAGGTGGAAGTTGGTGCGCGTGAACTCCTGGTGGATGCTCGCCAGGAGCGCGTCGGCGTCGGCGTCGGCGGCCGGTGCCGGGGCGCCCGCAGGCCCGGGCCGCACACTGTACTCCGGGGTGTAGGTGAAGGAGAAGGCGCTGGCGTAGAAGAGCCGGTCGGCGCGCACCAGGCTCACGGGCACGGTGATGGGCGTGCGCAGCCAGCGCCAGTCGCTGCCAAAGGCGGCCACGTCGGGCACCACGCACACCAGGGACCGAGGGCTCCTGGCGGTCACGCACGGGGTGAGCTCCACGTTGACTCCGGGGTGCCGCTCAGGTGACCCCTCCCTGACCCCGGGCCCACCCCGATACCTGTACATGGTTTCGGCCTCCACGTCCCCGAACCACACCTTGAGGCCCGCGTGGAAGTTCTCCCCGTGGAGCTCCAGCGTGGCCACGTCCCCCCCGCCGCTCAGCTGGGGGAGGAGGCACCGTGGTGAGGGGGTGGGGAGAGCCCCGAGCTGCCTGGCTGGCCTCCCTTCCCGGCACCCCTCCCCTCGGCCCACCTCGAGGGTGCTGATGAGAGGCACGGGGGTGACGGGCTCCCGAGTGCAGGCCAGGCTGGTGCTGAAGGAGAATTCCACGGACTCCGTGCCGATGATGGTCCAGCAAGAACTGTCGCTGAGTAGCGCCCGGTTCGCCTCTTTGGGGCAGGGGGAGGCCTGGGAGGGACGCAAGTGGTGGAAGATGGGCAGAAGCCTCCAGTGGTGGGGGGCGGGGGGGGCCCCCACCATAGAAACAAATAAATGGATGAACCAACCACCCAACTCAACTGCCTTTGAGTCAATTCCAGCGCCGAGTGAACCTGTCAGGGCAGAGTGGACCTGCTCCCTAGGCTTTCTGAAGCTGTCCATCTTGTCTGGAGCAGGTCCGCCTACCCTTTCCCCCATGGAGTGACCGGTGGGGTTGGAACTGCCAGGACACCTCCGTGGCTCCTTGTAGCCACTGTCACAGCTTAATGTCTGACTTGCGGTCAATTAAGCTCCCTGGACTAGCAGGGAGCTAGTCTTCTTTATTATTATTGTTATTATTATTTAGGATTTTAGGGTTCTGTCTTTAAGATCATGCCATTCCATGCCCTAACATCCTACAAGTTCAATAGTCTTGGGCAAGGGAGTATTGCTCAGTCCCACGAGCCATTGCTGTTTGCCACTCTCCCATCTCCTAACATTCGGTGAGTTGCTCTTCCGTGGGGAGTAATAGTGTCCGGTCATTATTATTGCCTCTATTCTGCTCAAGTCCATGTCCTTGCGTCCTATGACTCTAACAGTCTTTACTCAAGAACACAGTAATATGCATCACTATTATTTGTATTTACACGCACCAATTCTGTTGTCCCAATAATCTCATATTCTCGGGGGGCCTATTGCTCAAGCGGGTGACTAGCTTCTCGACATTCTATGACAGTCCTGAGAGTCTGCGATTCTAACACCTGGGCGTGGAGAGGCACGATTGCTCGGTGAGCAGCGGCTGCGCTGAGAGTGAAGAGCCTGGGGGTGCAGTGGCTGAGCAGTTAGAGGTGGGAGCCCCACAGCCGCTCTGAAGGGGAAACACGGGACAGGCAGCTGCCTCCATCAAGATTCACAGCCTTGGGAACCACATGGGGCAGTTTGCTGGCCCATGGGATTCCTGGGAGCTGGCTCGGGGCTTGGGGCTCCCGGCAGGTGGCTGACTTGGCCGAGTGGACATTCTCCGAGTCTCTGCATCGGGGCTTTCTGGGCTGCTGCATGCCCACCCTGTTTCTCACCTGGAACTGCACCACCTTCTCTGCGGCCAGGCAGAGGTAGGTTCCCGGGCCTCCTGGTGGGCCCCCTGGGAACTGGAACGCACACTTATGCAGCTGGGAGATGGGCTCGCCCACGTCCAGGAGTGCACATTGCTTGGCTACTTTTCGGATGATCTGCAGCAGAAGGGTGGTAGGCAGTGTGGTGCCAAGTGCAGGATGCCCACCGACTGTCCTCCTGGCCAGCTCTCTGCTACTCTGACAGCCTTTCGGGAACTGGGAGAGTTGAGTCCCCCCCCCGCCCCTTCTCCCCAGACCCCAAGTGATAAGGTGTGTCCTCTTGCCATGGGTCCCTGCCCTCCAGTCCCGCCCAGGTGGCCCCCTAGTATGATCCCTGCCCCCCCCC